CTACTGAACTTCATCCCTGAGTGAATATAATGGTACATTTTAAGCACATTTGTCCTTTATAAAATAATTAAATTGAAAATTCATGTACCTGCTTATTGGAGTAGATTAATTTGGAGGAAGATGACTTTGTGGTGTTACTGTATATAGAAGTATGTTATATTGGCTCTGAAGAAAATACACTTTCTCATCTGAGAACCACTTTGCTACCGGCATCTAAAATTTCATCTACCAATTACAAAATAATCCCCATTTCAAAATTTTATCCATCTCCTTATATTATAGCATGCCATTAAAAATTAATATATGTTGCTTGCTTGTTATATGAGTCGTAGTTTCAGCTGGCACAGAATTGACAAAGGAGTGCAAGCAGGCACTTTGTGATAGCCTTGCATACATGGAACAACCATGTATTAACTATGGCTGTAATCCTGTCAGAAATAATCCCCTCTGAAGCCAGTAGATTTTATTTCTGAGCTAGGACGAATTGGATTGCAATGTGAAGTATTTTCAGTTCAATGCACAATGAAAACTCCCTTCTGAGAGATATTACCCTTAATTTTTTGTTGTTAACCCTAAGGGGTATTTACCTGAAAAGTGAATTTTTTAACTGGGAAAAAGGATTGGTACAGCTTGTGCAGTTTGAGGAATGAGGTATTTATCATTCTAGTTCTTAAAGCTAATTCTTTACTTTTGAGGAGTAACACCCTAGGAAATGTACGTAAGTGCAGTGCAATTACTGTAATAGTTTCACCTAGCTAGGTGACACAGCACCGGACTGTGTGATTTAAAAAGGCTAAGCAGGCCTGGTTAATATTTTGATGGAAACTACCAAGAAATCCTTAGAAAATAAAATCCTACAGGCAAGATCAAACCACTCCTATCAGCCAGAAAAGCCATAAGCGTATGCAAGTGAAGTCACCCACAGTCAATTTGAAGAATAATCGGAGATTTTAAATGCTTAGCAATGTAACCAGAACAGGTGGTTATGTGTTAAATATACATGTTTAAAAAAAGTCTGAAAAATATACATTTTATTCCATCTCTTTCGTAATAAATGCAATTGTCACAATTATTTTGGGACTCAGTTTTATAATAGAAGTTGATCAAATTTTAAATTGAACATCATAATGAAAAGTAATTGGGGAGGGTTTTGTAGAAATGGAACAAGTTACTGTAAAATAAGCTGAATTTATATTAACTTTTAAAAAAAGATTTGTTTTTCAGATTAGCAACAAAGCAATAAAACATCTTTCACCAGTAGGCAACACATCAGGTGTCATCTGCTTACCTTATTTCTAGTTCTCAAAATTAAAACATAAATTATATATGGTAGTTTTTGTTTTGCCAATTTCCCCTGAGATTTTATTTACTTTAAAAATGTTTCGGGCTGGCATATTTTCTATAGGTAAGCAATAAACTGAAGCTCTGTATGTAGGAGGAAAAAAAACCTTAAAGCATATTTAAATCGCTCACATATCCTGAATAAGAAATTTATGTCATCTATTCCTTCTTTTCTAATTCTCTAGATACTCCCTTGAAAAAGCCTACTCTTTTTCTTAATTATTGCTTTGTGGTTATTTATCAGGGATATTTCTTAAACTCTTTGGGCCTTTCCCTACTACTGAATTAACTATCCTTCTAGGCATAAAACATGCTGGTTCTATTGCCAATCTTTCTATTGCATCTCCCACTGCTACCAAATAGTCTTGTTCTGATCTGAAACTGCACCATTCATTGTGGGCAAGATGGGGCGTTGTCTTACCTGAACACCTTTTCTCAGCACGGAGATGGAGAATCCACCAATGGGTTTTCTCTGCCTGCTTGCTCTTGAGACCAAGTTAGCCAAACTTGACACACCCCCTGTTGCTAGGGGAACCCAGTCTTGACAAGAGCGAAAGTTTTTGATGATAAGGCGAGGTTGTGGCTCTCACACCCCTAATTCCGGCCTAACAGACCTTAAGGGTGGGTGTGGATTCTCCATCTCCGTGCTGAGAAAAGGCGTTCAGGTAAGACAACGCCCGTTCTCCAGCACAGGAGATGGAGAATCCACCAATGGGACATACCAAAGCCTCATTGTCCCAATGGGTGGGAAACAGATAAGGCCGGCTCGACGTCCCCGGAAACCACCTGCTGGAGGACCCTCCGACCAAAGGAGGCGTCCACGGAAGCAAAGTGGTCAATCCCATAATGCCGTACGAATGGGGAGGGCGGAGACCATGTCACAGCCCTGCAAATCTCCTCTATGGACGCCTGAGTGGTCCATGCCGCAGAGGTCGCAGCGCTACGAGTGGAGTGGGCTGTGATATGACTTGGAGCTGAGAGGGAAGAAGACTGGTACGCCTCCGCAATACAAGACCTGATCCACCTGCCTATGGTGGAAGCTGAAACCTTCTGCCCCAGGGAAGCCGGAAGGAAGGAAACAAAGAGGGCCTCAGACCTGCAAAAAGGCGCCATGCGCTTGATGTAACGCCGCAGAGCCCGTGTGTGCCACTGCCGCTCCAAGTCATGGGAAGGATTGGGACAAAAGTTAGACAAAATGACTTCCTCTGCCCTATGGAAGAGTGAGTTGACCTTGGGCACGAAGGTGGGATCACCACCCGGTCCCGGTGGAAGATACAAAGATCGCTCCTAATCAAGAGAGCAGCCAGCTCAGAAATACGTCTGGCTGACGTGATAGCTACCAGGAAGGCAACCTTGTGACGGTTGGGGCTCACCGTGAGGCTCCGCCCGGCGGCCTTAGGTGGTCAGGCAAGTTGCACCAGAATGCTCAGTTATGGGCTCAGAGGGCCTGGTAGGCAGTACTGCCAAAGTGTAGGTATTGAAGCCAGAGATCAAGGAAAAAAGGCCTTGTAGGAGTTTGATATCTGTAGCTGGAGGCACAGGCCTAATGCGAGGCCTGAAGGGAGAACAGTGTGTCACCTCTAAAATGGCGGCCGCAGCAAAACTCCGTGAAAAATTCTTTTGGATGTCTGGGGCTGTGCCGAAGAGCCAGGAGCCCTTGCCCTAAAAGGGTGAAGAATGGAACTAGTTTAACTGAGAGGGATCCACCAGGAGTGAAGAGAGGAGATCATTTAAACTTCGTTGCCTTCGGAGGCAACCAAAATGGCGGCTGTGGCCCTCAGCCTACTCCGGAGACCTCGAGGGCAAGTTTTAAACGATCAGAAGGATCGCCTCAAAAGCGTCAAGCGCTGCGCGGGGAAGGCTGACTATGGATGCCTCCTGTCAGCAGGAAAAAACGTTCTGTTTAAAATTTGAGGTTTGTTGCCTTTGGCGGCAACCAAAATGGCACCCGCAACTTTCTCCCGTCAAAAAACAGTCTCTGGAGCCTCGGAGAGCAATTTGCTAACCGCAAAGGTAAGGTTGGAAGCTGCTCAAGGGTCCTGAAGAGGGAAGGATGTTGGGGGGGGAATTTCCCCAGAGCCCTGGGGAAGGAGAACGGGGAGGATGCAGCTATTCCACACCCCCACCTCTCAAGCCTCAAATCGTCCGATTTGAGGCAGCGCTGAGTCCAGCGCTCCAGGGGAGCAGCTAGGAGAAATTCCAAGCTGAATTTACTGACCTGAATTTTGAGGAAAGTGAGGAAAGGAGAATTCACCAATGGATCTCTAACCTGCTAAATCTACTCTGAAACTTGAGAGCCAAACCTGACACATCTGCAAGAGCTTGAGACCAAGTCAAGACTGGGTTCCCCTAGCAACAGGGGGCGTGTCAAGTTTGGCTAATTTGGTCTCAAGAGCAAGCAGGCAGAAAAAACCCATTGGTGAATTCTCCATCTCCTGTGCTGGAGAATTTTGGTTTTCCTCTTCTGGCTTTGCTCCCCCTTTAGTATTATACTAATCATGCAGGATTATTTCCATTAGAGCACAGCAGCATGAACAGGGTGGATCTGTTTGAACGATTCTGCTTGAGGTCTAGACTGATATGTCTGCCCTTTCTCTCACTTCCCATTTGGCCATGTTCAAAGGTAAAACTGAAATAAGGAAAGAAACCAGGACAGAAATAGCCCAAGAGGTAGGAGGTAGATAAACCTTACCATGAATGTACAACCATCCAGGTTGTGTGGAAGAGAACAGGAAATGAGTAGCTGCTGGGCAACCACTTTTCTTATTTGTGGTATGAAAGTGGGGAGGGAGTGACAATATGATATCCATGGGGGGAAAAGGACAAAGGCTAATTTAGCATCTCTCATTTTGTAAACTCTGCAGAGCTCCTACATCTAAAAAAATCAGATTCTCTTTAATGCTACTTCAGAATACAATAATATGACATTGTGCAAAGCCCCTTACTTTCCCCAGATAAAATAGCAGAGATCTGTTCTCTCTCTACCTTGTTGGAAGCTTGGAAAGAAGTTGTTTTCAAAAAACAGAGAGGGGAAAAACAATATGAAAAGAATTCTAAACAGAACTGCTGATAGGAAGTGCAAATCCTCAGAGAGCATTTGCTGCATCAGAGGCTAGCAAGTGACTAGAGAGGCCCCACTCGTAATTCTTAATGCTCTGAAAAAGGGCCCCTGATCACCCCCACAACAGGTTATTTGACTTCACCTCTCAAAATAAGAAAGTAGCACAGGTTTTATATACCTTGAAACAAAGGGAGATAGTATTGGCTTAAAGGGGAAAACTACTTTTGTATGAATACACTTTGTGACAACTTAAGACTGCTTCTTCACCCGTGGGCTGGGGCAAGATGAGGATTCGCTCCTGCACCCCAGGGAGAAGACTGGTATTTAGGACATGCTACTGCAGTGCTGCTGTAAACTGTAAATTTGAGGACATGGCCCCTCTATTTCAAGTTTAATCCTATTACTTTTTACTTTTGGGAGGGTAATTGTTAAAATTGTAGAAGAATAATCTTTCCCATATATTAACATTGTTCATACAGATGCCTTGCATTTCTTAAGTCTCTTAAAACAAATGTGATCTTCAGTTTGATCTTCCCTTTTCTTAAATTTATATAATATACCACGTCAACCTATTTATTGATACCAACAGCAATTTGGCTTAAGTCCTTTTTCTCTGCAGAGATGGTGATGTGGTTTTCTGTAAAGCTTCAGCTCTTTTCTTTTCTTCTTCAGCCTTCTTCCTTTGTTCCTTCAGCTCCTTATATCTCCATTTGGGAATCTCCAAGTAGGTCCCATCACTGGCATTACTTTTCCGTCGCACTTTCTCTGGCTGGAATGTAGGCCGAGGTGCCTTACTTATACGGACTCTGGGGATGACAAGCCCAGGTCGAACACTGCTTCTTCTTAACAAGTGCAGTGGTAAGAGACTGGCTTTCCTTGGAACCACAACCTTGACCTGGGGCACGTTAAAATGCTGCAGGCTGGCTCTCCTTTCCTTCTTTTTGGACAGTAGAGTAATTCTGGAATTCTGAAACAACTTCCTATAGCTGTTAAAATGTTCCCTGTTCTCCAAAATTTGAAGTTCTTTAGCTCTTTGTTTCCTAAGAATTTCTTGCACAGCTGGCCTACGTTTTCCTACAGCAGGAGGACTTTCAGGGCACACAGTCCTACAAGCTATGGCAACAAAGGAGCTTCTTAAACTTGTTGTTGTTCTAACCATGTGATCCAGGACCCCATCTTCTTCAGGACCATGGACAGTTCTGAAATTGACAATGGATCTCAAAGTTGCTGAGATCTTCTGCAAGCAAGTTTTTGAATCTGTAGCCTTGGCAAGAAGTTCCTTCAACTTTGGCCATTCAAGCAAATATTGATCACAAAATTGCTCAGCGCATGGCTTATCCATAAGTCTCTGTATTAGATATGCAGATTCTATTCTTCCTGTGAAACATGCCCATTCTAGAGGTGTGAATCCACGACCTGGATCTGTTGCATTAATATTTGCTCCTTTAAAGAAATGAGAGGGGGGGGGGAAAGAGAAAGAAATTAAGGTCATGCTGTATGTGTTCTGAACTGAGAAGTTGTAAAAGTTGTAGTTCTTGATTGCTATTCTTAGCTATCATGGTTGACAGTCCAGTAGTAAGGTTCTGAGCTATGCTAAATTGTTCAGAGGTTTGAAGTACAATGGTACCTAATGTTCTGCATAATATTGCATTAATACTGTAGTCCTCCAAGAATCAGTATAATCAAAGTAGAATGAAACAATCACTGATTAAAATTAATTTCCTTAAATAAGGAATTCAAATTACATTGACTACCTCATCTGCATATACCAACCATTCTCTTACACACAAAAACATACAAGTCCATACATGCACTAATACAGAAATAGAAATTCTGTGCATTAAAAAAAGTTAAATCTATCAAGAAAACAACATCTCCTAATCAATGGATAATTCCAGGCTGACCTGAAAAGGGATTCATGCTTTCCACTAGCAGTTCCTGCAGTCGTTGCTCACTTTTTTTTTTTTTTTTTTTAAGAAAATTTTATTAATTTTTATAATTAAACAATAAGTAATATGATGCATTTATAACACATACACAAAAAAAAACAATCCAATTCAATACATTATCAGAAACACTCAGCAGTTCCCGACCTGCCTCCGCCCTCATCCACTTGCCTTTCCTTCCTACCTCTAACCCACAACCTCTCCTCCTTCCTCCTTCCCCTTTCTACATCCCCCCTCTTCCTGACCACCTCATCGAGTGCAAGCCGGGATACCAACCGAGCGCTTCCTCTTATCAATACAATTATAACATATGAATACATCAATTTTTATTTTAATACTCCTAACCCCCTTCCCCCCCTGAGCTTCCCGGAATCAAATACAGGACTAAAATAAATCATTCCAAATCTAACTTACAATTTAGCTAAACAAATATAATACTAACAGTATATACCTACTTTAACTCTAATAAGGCAATTAAATTAATTAAAATTAATTAAAAACCAATACATCTACTCAAAAACTATATATCATTTAATCACTCCATACATCTAATATAATCTATCCACCTTCAACATTTAAGCTTACATATT